TAAATAATCTTACCTAATGCAGGCATTCCTTCTGTCGACGAAAATAATCCATAACCAATCTATAAATGAAAATTTGGATGAGTTTATTCTGAGCTGAAATCTGAGGATTATAACCCGGGAGAGTCTTTCCACAAAGGAACAGAGCACTCCAAAGAAGTGGGGTTATACAGGGTGGTTATATACCCTCAAAGAGTATGTTTCACATATGATTGAAATGTCCCTTTTACAATAGTCACGAGGCTGCTCTGTCAGCACAGTGATTGATGGAAACAGCAGATAGGCCTGCTGTCTCAGTGAACCCCACAGGCTGGCAGGTCTGTTGCCTCAAGCTGTGCGGTCACAGATGAACACTGCAATCAGTTCCCAGCCTAAAGAAAGATGCTTAATCTTCAAGGAGATGCCAACGTTGGGAGGGGGAGGGAAGCTGCACCTTTATCTCAAAATGTCTAAGCAGATGTACAATGCATGCTCAATGGCCACACGCAGACCCTTTTGGAAAAAACAAAGTCAGGCCGAATTAGGTTTATACCAAATGGCTTCCTCATATACTCCAATATATCCTATTGCTTGCCATTTTTATTTGTCACTTCTAATGGCCATTGTAGTTCCCCTGAGGCTGACAGCAGTTTGGGAGGATCCTTAGCCGAGAATGGAGTGCAACCTGTATTTCCATCCGACCAAATATGTAAATATTTACAGCCTCCTGAACCTTTAGTTTTTGAGCAATTGTGCTGGAAGGTGGTGAGCTTGACTCTTTAAAAATTTCTCTATTGTCTGGCTCTTTAAAAGAAGCCCCACAGTGGCCACTGTAGTTCTAAATTTTCCCAAGTTACCATGCCAGCTGTTTACAGCTATCCCTATTTCGTTAAGCACTTGAAAGTTTCAGCACAAAGCCAGCAGGAGTTCCGAGGGGAGACTGACCACTTGGGAACTGCTCAGCTTCTTGAAGCTCGACTTCCCACTTTTCTTTTAGTTTAGTTTTACTATAAAGTCTGAACAATTTCTAGGGACAGTGTAGTGGGTCAGAAATGTGTTGCTTGTGAGTGTTATTCCCTAAAGAAAGGTTATAAACAGTCTCTTACGTGCCTCAGTTTCTCCCGCTAGCAGTCTAAGACTGCTGTGGGGGCTTGGAGTGCAGAGGGGACCCATTCTCATATGCACGTTCCTGGACAAGCCCGTAATTAATTAACGTGAATGATGGTGGAGTTCCCTATGGGAGCTCTATGCATTGCAAGGATTGATCCTCTGACACCCACAAGGTTCTCAGTCACCTGAGAGCATCTTTTGGCCAGGAGGAGCTGGTGTCCCTTCTCTTCAGAGGTGAATAAATTCAGATTCTCATTTCTCTATCAAGCAGTTTATTCAGAATTTATAAGCACAATTCTTTCCAATTTAAAGCCAAATTAAAAGATCAGTCTGCTCCATTCACTCCCAAGTTCTCCTTAGGCTCCCCTGGCCTAGGAAATTTTCCCTAGGTTTCTTTTTCCCAGGAATTCCCCCTAGGTTCCTCCTACCTAGAGTATGTACTGGTACCCCCTTAAGATACTTAGCCTTAAGGCTTGAAATGGCTCATATAAACTCTGGACCATCGACTTAAGATAGGGAGGTCTGGGTTTCAGGAGAACTCACTGGGGTCACCTGAAGACTGCAGTGATGGGGCTCAATGGGCCCCTGTTGGCACCAAATGCCAGCTCAGTGTAGATTGCAGTTGGTCTCCGGTAGGTTTCTCTGAAATCCTGCCGACTGTGCCAAGAAAGTTCACCCCTTTGGGGCTTGGGAAAACTTTTCCCTTCTCACTTGGTGCGAGTGACCGGGCCCTTTGGAACTGGCCCTGCTCCCTGGGCCTCCACTCCGTGCCAGCTGCCGTCTCCCTCTGTCTTGGCTGCTGTCCCACCTGCTGCTCCTGTTTCTGCATCTCAACGTGTCTGTGCGCAGGCTGGCTGGCTGGTGCGGGCTGACCCCCGTGCTTTCCCATCGCGCCTGCCCCGGGCGTAAGCCCAGGTGAAGAGCTTCAGTCCTGTAGTTCTAACGCTTAGTAAGGCCCATGATTTGTCCCACTTTGGCTCTTGCGAGTCTCCCTGAGGTGGAGCTGGAGCTCTGTTGTCATAAAGAGGGGATGGGGGCTGCCGTTCAGGAGAGAATTACATGGAGAATGAAGGGGAGGTGAGAGTGGGACAGCTTACAGAGTGTCTGTATGGTCTGGAAATGCAGAAGTAGGAGAAGCTGAAAGTGGTGGAGAGAGGGGACAGCACATGCCAGAAAAAGGCTTAACTCTGAAGTTTGTGTGAAACAAATGAGTAATTCTGGGGTACTCGAATTCCACCATCCCCTGTATCTTTGAGACCACACTCCTGTGGAAGAAAGGAGATGACATGGAGAAGGAAGAGGGTCACCAAAAAAGCTGTGGGCTGGAGCTGGGGCTGCACAGGTTGGTGTGAACTCACGAGGGCTCCTGCATCTGTGTGTGTGGTTCCTAGCTCTGTCCCATGAGAAGGCCCAGAAACCACGACCTTCCCAGAGCCGTGAGCACCCCCAGCCCCCAGATCATGGTCCCTAAAGACCATTTCCTACCAATAGGACCCAGGGCTTGATGGAGATGTGCTGGTTCCAGGCCTGGGTCGGGAAGTGTACATGACGAGCCCGGGCACCCTCTCCTCCCAGACAACAGGGACGTGGCCAAGACCAAGGGGCACCAGAATTCTAGAGTGAACAGGTGACGGGCCACGTGGTGAAGTGACTGGATACAATGTACACTGGAAAAAATGTTCTGCTCTAGCAATAGGCACCAAGAAACAGAATGTGGATAAATATTCCATTATAATGGCAACAAAAACTAGCAGATTGAAATAAACACAATGTAAGCACAGGACCTCCATAACGAAAATGCCAAAATTGTGTTGATAGCTCCAACGCTGACAATCTGATTAAAGAGAAAACAGACCCTGGGCATCCAGGCATGGCGCTTCCCACGGGAAGGCGGCGTCATACCAAAGTCCTGTCTCCAAATCTGAGCCAACACCCCGTTTCCCTTCCCGGGGCAAACCCTCAGGGTTTCTGGCATCAGCCCGGTTTTCCCGCCCCACCATGGCACTGCTCCGTCCTGACCTGGGTCTTTTCGCTGGACGTGTTCTGCTGGATGTGGCTCTGCTCTCGGTCACTGCTGGGTCTTCCACCTGGAACCCCAGCCTCGTGACTTCCCTGCACTGCCCCGTGTGGAAGGAAAGCCATGCATTTCTTTGGCTTCTGTGTATTCCCTGACTGGCTGCAGTGAACGCTGTGTGGGTGGGGACAGTGTGGCCTGCTGGTTAACGCAGCTCTGGACCACAGGCGTCTTCCCCATGTCCAAGCGCGTGGCCTCCGGCAAGGCACGTGACCTCCCTTTGCCCAGGGGACTCTGCAGTAGAGCATATCGGGTGCCGAGATAAGGACACACAGTGACTACAGGATAGATTCCTGGACACATCCTCGCTGGCATTTTAACTCGGAGGTTCTGAGAGGTGGCACCAACGGGAACACGAGCGACAGAGCGGACAGCCCTGGGCACGCCGTGCCGCCTCGTTTAAGTCTCTGATCCAAATGGAATTCATTCTGATCAGTGGGTGAGGGGGAAATCTGCCCCTCCTACCCTGGAAAGCCCCCTTTGCCATTGCTTGCCCCTCCTCCCGGCTCGTCCTGTCCTGCGCTAATACAAGTAGCTTCAGAGACTGGTCTTCTGGACCTTCTAGGATCTGGCAGACCCGGCACTCCTCTCCAATATCCTTCAGAATTTTCCTGTCTGTTACTGTGTGATTTGCTTCCGTCTGAACTTTAGAATTGACTTATTAGTTAAAAATTCTCCTTTTGGGACTATGTTCAATTTTGAGATTGTTTATGAAGAAACCCTGTCAGTCACCTCCCCAAAGCAGAGGAGTAGCAGCAGCAGCCGCGTCGGGGGCGAGGACCGGTGGTTCCCTGAATGCTCGCTTTGGGTGGGGGCCAGAGGGGTCCGACAGGGCAGAGAGGAGCTGCTGAGGGGGAAGGGGGTGGGTTTGGGGGGCAGATGGGGAGCCACGGTCTGGATCTTGGCGACTGTGATGCCTTCAGATGCCCCACTGAAACATGGGCAAGCCCAGGGTGGGGATGTGAATTTGGGTGGCCTGCATGCGGGTGACATGGACAGAGACACACTCTGGGGTTTCCTCTCCCTCTCCTGGGCCCCCCACCCCCTGTAGTCTGAGGTGGTCCTGGGGTGGGGAGGGGCAGGGAGGCCCCTCATGGCCTGTCCATTTGTCATCCAGAGCCTTCCATGGGGCCTTGCCTGAATGTGAGTGCCTCAGCTCATGGAAGGCTGGAGGTGGGGGGCCCTGCATCTCCCTTTTCCAGGGGATTGCCAGGCATGGGGGCTCTTGCCTGACTCCATGGGGCATCCCTTGTCTGAGCCCTGTCTCCTCCCTGATCTGGTCACAGCATCTCCCTTAGGCATCCCAGGCCAAGGACCACCGCCAGCACCCCACCTGCCGAGTTCCTGACAACCAGGCAGGCCCTCGGAGGGTCTCTTCTTGTGGGACCCTCCCCTCCCCCAGGGGGAGAATGCCAGGATGTCCTACCTCTCACCCCTCTCCCATGATGTGCCCCTCAGGAGTGTGGGCTCAGGGGTCTCTGGGGAGCCACAGCCTCCCGGGGTGCCTTGCTCAGGGTTGGGGGTTTTCTGACCTGCTCTGGCCTCCAGCCCGTCAGCTCACCCCCTTGCCCTCCCACCGCAAGGGAATGAGTCTGCCTCTGGCTTCTTCTGGCTTCTGAGCAGTGGAGGGTGCAGCAGGGGGGCCCTGTAGGGGTGGAGTCAGATGATTGCTACCTGTCCTGGGTCTCATCCTGGACCCCAGGGCCCCCATGGGCTGGTACACAGAGGTGTTCAATATGAGCTTTATGTGGATGATGGGGAAGTGGAGTGGTGGGAGTGGGTGGTGCTGGCCCCTCCCGTGCCCCTGACTCGGGGGCTGATAGGCTCCCTATGCCCACAGGTGCTTCTGGGCCATCCTCCTCCTGGCCCTGACCCTATTCCTGCTGGCCACCTTCCTGCACGTGGACATTAGACTGCACACACGGTGAGTCCTGCATTGGGCATCCCCCAGTCTGGGTGCTGCCCCCTCTCAGAGCCGTGCCTGGGACCCTAGCCTGCCCACCTCTGGGTGGCACCCAACACTACCTGGTGACCATGGCTGGTCCTGCCTCTCCACTGGGCCTCAGTTTCCCCTCTGTAAGAGAAGGAGTGGGTCCTTCCTTGTGGGGGCCCTCTCAGTGTCTCCCATGGGCAATGAGCTGCCCAGGCCTCTGGGGAGGGCTCTGGGCCCAAGCAGGGGCTGTCTTGAGCACAGCTATTGGGTACAGAGGGCAACCGGGTGCTGGGAGGCAGGGCTGGGGCCCAGGGTGTGTCTGGGGAGGTCAGGACCCCTGCTCCCCTGCCTGCCAGTGGTACGTCCTCTGTGAAACCTGGGGTCCACATGGATGGCCACCCAGGCCCAGTGCTTCAGCCCCCTCTTGTGGCCCCAGGCCACTTCCCCCTGGCCCCGCTGCCCCCGATGGGATCTCCACAGCAGAGGGGGGAGTGACAAAGCCCCCTGAGACTCTTTACCAGGCCCCCCATTGTCCCCAGGGCCAGTGCAGGCCTCTGGATCCTGTTCCTCAACACCCAGGGCCCCTCCCCTGCATTAGGGCCCTGCGCTGTGGCGGGGGGGGGGGGGGGGGGGGGGGGGGGGGCGGTGGTGCCTGCTGCTCCTGGTTTGAGTCTGAGGCTGGGTGGGCATCATCATGAGATCACAGGAGTGGGCACCAGTGTCCACTCTGGCCCTGTGGTCAGGCTGGACAGTCCTAGCATGAAGGGTCAGCCAAGAAATGCCAGACATGTGGCCCAGGTCATAAGGCCAGAGCCATGCCAGGTGCCCTGGGAGCCAGACAGGAGGTTGGGGGCCCAGCCTGCGGTACGTGGGGGGCAGATGGTACAGCCACTTATGGAGCAGTTGTGTCTGTGCCAGTGGGTAGCTCCAGGGCAGCAGGATTGGGGGTCTCTAGGTTGGGTGAGCACAGGGTGGGGTGTTTTCAGGTACGGGGAGTGAGGGTTGGGGGATCTTGGATTGGAGGGAGCATGGTCATGGGAGATGGTTTGCGGGTCTCCAGGCTGGGGAGTCGCTGGCTTGGGGGTCATGCAGTTTGGGGGAGTGAGTGGTAGGGTTGCTGGGTTGGGGTATCTCCAGGTCGGGGGTACCAGTGGTGGTTTGTTAGGTTTGGGGTCTTGCAGTTGGGAGAGCAGGTTAGGGGGTCACTGGGTTGGGGTCATGTGGTTGGAGGGTTGCTGGGTTGGGGTCATGTGGTTGGAGGGTTGCTAGGTTGGGGGTCATGTGGTTGGAGGGTTGCTGGGTTGGGGGTCATGTGGTTGGGGGTCATGCAGTTTGGGGGGCTGCTGGGTTAGCGGTCATGTGGTTGGAGGGTTGCTGGGTTGGGGGCCATGTGGTTGGGGGTCATGTGGTTGGGGAATGGGTTGGGGGTTGCTGGGTTAGGGTCTCTCAGGGTTAGGGGTGTTGATTAGGGGCTCGGGGGGCTCCCTCGCTGATGGCAACCTTGTTCTCCTCCCAGCCTGCTCTCAGGTGAGGCCAAGGGGCCACCCGTCACCAACGTCATGTTCCTCAAGACGCACAAGACGGCCAGCAGCACGGTGTTCAACATCCTCTTCCGCTTCGCAGAGACGCACAACCTGTCGGTGGCGCTGCCCACTGGCTCCAGCTTCCACCTTGGCTACCCCTGGCTCTTCCTGGCGCGCTACGTGGAGGGGGTTGAGCAGGACGGCCCCAGCCTGCAGCAGCGCTTCAACATCATGTGCAACCACCTGAGGTTTAACCTGCCGGAGGTGCGGCTGGGGGGGTGGGGTGCGCCCTCCGCAGGGCATGGGGGCGGGACTCAGCCCCAGGCCTGCAATGCACTTTGTGACTTTGTGGTGTGACCATGGGCCGGGAGGGGTCCTGGGTGTGTGTGCAGGGACCTGGCAGGAGCCATGCACGGGGGCTGGGTGAGGCCCAGTGCAGACAGCATGGGCCACACTGCCTCTCCAGGCTGCCGGTCGTCTGCTGTTGCTTTTGGAATCAGACAAAGGCACCTCCTGGTCTGCTGCCCTCTCCCTCTTCTTCTCCAGCCTCTTCTTGGTTCCCAACCTGTCCAGCGCTTCCCGCCCCAGGACCTTTGCTCATGCTGTCCCCTTTGGTGGGGATGCTCTTTGCACTCTTTCTCTGGTCGTTTACGTCTCAGCTTAGTGGTCACCCCTTTCAGGGGGCTTCCTCGACCTTCCAAAGCTTAGCCAGGGGGAGAGAGGTGGGGGAGGACGGGCATAACCTGGCTCAGGTGTTTTAGGATCATTCTGGATGCCGGTGGAGAGTGGTGGGCAGGGGAGCAAGGTGGCTTGGACTGCAGGCAGGGAGGCCAGGTGGGGGAGGTGATGGAGCAGAGAACAGGTGTGCTGTGGAGTGCAGGGGAGAAGAGACCATTGCCTCCTGGGTGCCAGAAAGAGCCCGGAGAGTCAGCAGCCTTTCTTGTTCTGTCTCCAAACAGGTGCAGAAGGTCATGCCCAAGGGCACTTTCTACTTTTCCATCCTCAGAAACCCCATCTTCCAGCTGGAGTCCTCCTTCATCTATTACAAGAACCACGTCCCCGCCTTCCAGGGCGCGAAGAGCCTGAACGTCTTTCTGGCCTCGCCCTGGGCTTACTACAACGAGAGCCTCGGTCTGCAGAACGTCTATGCCAGGAACAACATGTGGTTCGACCTGGGCTTCGACAACAACGCACCGGCTGAGGAGAGCTATGTGCGCGCTCGCCTGGCGGACGTGGAGCAGCGCTTCCAGCTGGTGCTCATTGCCGAGTACTTCGACGAGTCCATGGTGCTGCTGCGGCACCTGCTGCACTGGCGGCTGGACGACGTCGTGTCCTTCAGGCTCAACTCACGCAGCCAGCGCAGCATCACCAGCCTGACGCCCGAGAGCCAGGAGCGCGTGAAGCGCTGGTGCGCCCTGGACTGGCGCCTCTACCAGCACTTCAACCGCACCTTCTGGTTCAGGGTGGGCGCGGAGCTGGGCCCGCGGCAGCTGCGCTCCGAGGTGGCCCTGCTGCGGGCGCGGCGGCGCGAGCTCACGGCCCTGTGCCTGCAGGACGGCGAGCCCAAGAACGACTCGCAGATCACGGACCCCCGGCTGCGCCCCTATCAGGCGGGCAAGGCCGACATCCTGGGCTACAACATCCGGCAGGGCCTGGACAATGAGACGCTGCAGATGTGTCTGAGGATGGTCATCCCCGAGCTCCAGTACACGGCCCACTTGTACGCCCTGCAGTTCCCAGAAAAGCCCCCCAAGAGCATACCCCTCCGGGGGCCATAGAGCGTTGGCACCAGGGAGAGGGTCCCTGTTTGACACCAGCCCATCTCCTGTCATCCCTGGGAGGCCATGGGCATAGCCTCAGGCTAGGAGAGGGGCTCCTGGGGCACCCGGGGACCCAGGCTGTGCCAGACCACTGCTCTTGAGGGTGAAGACGCCTGTGAAGAGACCCACCCGCTCTGTCCACCTGCAGGCAACCTGTTGGTGAAGGCCCAAATCTGGGACCAGAGGCATGCCTCCTCGAGGACGTGAGCCTGTTCATCACCTGGAAGAGTCCTACAAGGGAGGAAAGGGAGTGACATTTAATGACACGTCCACACCCTCCCCACAGAAAGCACACGTGTGGACACACTGCCCAGCGGAAGAACACAAGCCCAGGGAATCTGGAGGGCCTTGGGCAGCAGGGCCGGGTCCCTGAAGGAGCTCGGAGTGGCTCCCTGCTGTTTGCCGGCCACGGAGACACGGCGCTGGTCACTGAGACACAGACCCATGGGCAGTGCTTCGAAGACGGGCCCCGGGAGCCGGGACGAGGGGGCGGGGTCTGGGACATTTGACTTGGGATGCTTATTCCCAATGGGTTTAGAGTGAGAGATGTTCCGACTCCTTATGAGACCCACGGTTTAGCCAGAGCACAGGCCAAGTTCCCGTTAGTCCCCCCGAGTGTCCAGTGAAGGGAAAGCCTGCCAGAGGCTCGGGCAGCTGCTGCACCCTTGGTTGCCATGGAGACCACGTTGGATGCAGTCTCAGAGGAGGGCAGCTTCCAGGCGCCCCTCTTTGTCATTCATGGGGAGGGACTGAGGACACCCTGCCTGGCAGGACGTGACCCCTGGCTGAGTCGGGGTGAGAGTGGCATGCACTCACCGTGTCAGGTGCCATGTGCCCTTTGAAAAGCGGCCGCCTAGAGCACCCAGGAAGCAGAGCCACTGTCACAGCTCAGCCTGGGCCTGTCTGCCCGGCTCTGGGAGTCCCCTTCCTTCCCGTCAGGATCCTCAGCCTGTCGGCTGGGCCCGGGCACTTGCGGAGTGCCCCTGTGTCCAGGCATGTCCACACCTTTCAGGGGAGCCCGCATTTCAGAGAAGGAGGGGACTCTGAGACAAGCAGAGCAGGCGGCAGCTCCCTTGCACACCAGTAGTGGAGGGAACATTGAGAAGAACGATTCTAGTGAGAGTAGAGGACATGGTGCAGTGAATTTGAGAATAAAAGAGAATATTTGATGAAAAAAATGACTTCCAAAAAATGGAATAGAGACCGTGACGAATAGGATGGACACTGCACAGAGGCGGGGTCAGCCAGGAGACAGTGCGGAGGATCACCATCCACAACCCCCAGGACGACGCAGCGGGAGACCCTGAGGGCGGGCGGGAAGGGAAATCAGGCCCAGGAAGGAGTCCCGACAGGAGAGCCAGGGCGACTGATGAGACCCTACAGGCAAGCGAGGAATGGGAAAACTGTCCCGATCTGAGGAAAGACAAGAGTCAAATTCAGTGCCCTGAGCATCGGGCAGGCTCCTCCAGCCCCCAAAGGAAACTAGACTGCGCCGCAGCTAACAGGGCGAGCGTGCGAGTCCAGGATAAGGAGAAGACGCGGCTGCTCCTAGAAACGGAGACTGGTCTCAGGAGACGGAGAGAGAGGCTCAGACCACAGCGTCAGGTCCACAGGCACCGACCCACCCTCTGTGGCACCGAACTCAAGAACATGAGTGGCGTCGGCAGTTCAGTGGCGTCAACCTTTGAGGTTGGCAGGAATGTAGGCTGGTGCTGCCTTTTGGGAGGGGAACATGGGGGTATTTATTACAATGTACAGTGCACGCGGTAATAGAGAGCTTCGGCGACACTGTGTTCAGGTTCTCCATCCAAAGGGAACGTTTACCCTGCTGAAGCCCCCACGTAGCCAATAAAAGCCAGGGGTTCAGAGTCTGGCTGAAACTCCTTTCCCGACGGGCATTTCCAGGCCTCTGTGATCCGGGGTTAGGGTGGGTGACCAGGAGGGGTATGCTCGACCCAGCCAGTGATGCCATGGCTGTGGGGGGAACCCAGGAGGCAGACCCTCTGATGTTTCAAAAGAAGCTGGGAATACAGGTTTTTATGTGAAATCTCCTTGTTTGAGAAAGCTGACATCTAACTAAAACATTAACCCCGCGAGCAGAGGGAGCGAGGCCTGTGAGGGGGCCAGCTCCTTCCGGGGCCCTGGTTGGCACCCTGTTAGTCACCCCTGTCCGGATGCAGGGGGGATTTGCACAGGCGAAGGGCTTGGAAGCCCACTTGGGGGATCCGGGAGGGAGATGGGTTTGAGTGGGGCTCCCGCAAGGCGGAGAGATTGAGGTAACTGTTCCGGGGCACCCGACTTCTCCTTTTGTTCAAGACAGACCCCTGGGCTTTTATCTGGGCACAGGCTGCCGGCTGGGGGCGTCTGGGCTGTCCCAGGGGTGGGCAGAAGTGCTGTGTACCACCAGAGCCACCTCAGTAGATTAAGTGCTGCATGCCCCGCTGGCCCCTCCTGGGGCTGCTCTCTGCTGGGTGTGCGAGTGGTCAGGAGTCACATGGGGGGATGACCCTGCAGGTGCAGTTGCGGAACTGGGCCCCACCCCTCTCCTCTCTGCATTGTGGCTCCTCCTACCCCGTCCTCAGCTTCTCCCAGTAAGTCCTCTCTGGCCCCGGGGCCCTGAATGGATACAGCAGGATGCATAAATGTCATATGATGTCTTAATTTTCCCATAGCCTGTTTCTCTCTCTGATGTCCCGTAACATGGGAGGGAGGGGCCCAGGGAGCCCCTGAGGAGGTGGGCCCCCTGGAGAGCCCTTGTTACTGACAGCACCGGGATGCTGTAGCCTCCCCAGAGGACCGGCCTGGGCAGTGGTCACCCCTCAGAGACAGCAGGAGGGGAGTGAGTGAAGGTGAATGGGGCCACCTGGCAGGAGCCCTGGGGAGGCAGCTGGTGGGAGGCGGGGGTGGGGTGCTGGCCCACCCTCTCTGAGCCGGGCTCCCGAGCACAAACATGGGACTGGAGCCCAGTGAGGTCCAAAGGGGCCGGGATCCTGGAGGCTGAGGGAGGGGCAGGCAGGCACCCACGCAGAGGCATAAAGGGTCTCGGAGCATCCTGGCGAGTCTGAGCACTCACGTAGGTTCTCATGGGAGGTGACTCTGGAGGAGGCCTGGGGCAGTGACATCGGTGTCCCCCGTGAAGGTCAGCTTTGGCACCTAGCAGCAGCCCGCCCCCAGCACAGCCTTGTTGAGGAGTGAGCCCCAGGTCCCAAGCACCCCAGGGTAGAGCGAGTGGACCAGCAGAGAGAAGCCGTGTGCGGCCTGTCCTGATGCTGCCGCCTACCACCATGTTCATCTGCACCCCTTGCGACTGCTCTCCTGCACTGAAGCCGAGGCTGGCGGGAGGGTCCTGGGCCCTGACGCGGCCCTGGCACGATGCCAGCTCCCAGCTCCTCCCACAGAGTGGGCCCTTGTCTCTGTCCCATTCACTGGGTCAGAGAGGCAGGCGCTCCCTCCTGCAGCCGCCCCACAGCCAGCTCTGCGGCCTCCCCGAAGTGCCCGGTGAGTCCCCTCCCTGCTCACCTGTACCCTGGCCCTTGGGGGTCTGGACCTGGCTCCCGTCTTTAGGCTGAGGGGGGTGGGTGCACGGACCCCGGGAGTCCTCCAGCCAGTGCTTCCATATGGATCCCCTCCATGGGACAATTTCCTGGCCTGAGTGGTGGGTGCAACCCTGCAGGGCCCCGGGGGTAGATTTAGAGGATGGGATGGATGCAGACTGGGTGTTGGGGCCCAAAGCTGGGGACTCAGCCCCAGCCCGCAAAATCAGATGGGCCAGTAGGTGACACCCCGCCAGACAGAAGGTTATGTAACTGAGTCCTTGCCCAGGACAGGGCGTAGGACAGTTGGGTTAGACTGGAGACCCACCCTGAAGTGACAGAGCCGGGGGGCTGCTGTGCCTGACTTGTTGCAAAGGGCCTCTGCTCTTCACGTGCATGCATGTTACTGCCCTGCAGCAGGCTGCGCCCGCTCAGCACCAACGGGTCCGAAGGACAAAAGATGTGCTGACCAGGGAGAGCGTGGGGTGGCCGACTGGGCTGACTGAGTGCTCCAGGCAGGATGTCTGGGCCAAGCCTCTGCCCAGGCAGAATGACCCCCAGCAACTTGCTTGGGGTCCAGGGCCAGGGACCAGGTTCTCTTGGAGGTCCCAACGCCTCGCTGGGCCTCAGTTTCCCCTTCTGTGATTCAACATCTTTAAGGAGGGCCCCGCTGGGGCGGGTGGATGGGCTCTGAGGCTTACAGATGCTGGCTCCAGTTAACATTGGGACACAGCCACCTGGTCAAGCCAAACCCCCAGAACCTCCTGAATTGGCCACATTGGGCAGCACTGGCCGCCCGGGAGGCCCTGTTCCTCCTCGTGGATTGAGGGGCCTCCATGGGAGGGGAGGCTCTGTAGAAACCTGGGCCCAGCCCGCGTGTGGGTACTCTGAGTTCCTGGCAGCCTTGTCCCGCTCTGTGCAGTGAGCAGAGTGACCAGCTGGTTTCTGGAGCCTCCATGACTCCTGCTGTGTCCCCAGGCCCAGAGTGGGCCTGGGCCACCTGCTCCTGCTGACACCAGCTCCCGGTGGTCCCAGGCCCTGGGGAGTGAGCCAAATGGAGAGAATGTCCCGCTTGTGTCCATTCAGCCTGGAGGGACACGTGGCATCCGCACCTGCTTCCTGCTTGGGCACAGCTGCCCTTTGATGCAGACGGGGTGGGGGGCAGGGGCTTCCAGGGCACAGGGAGCTGCTCTCAAAGCCCAGAGGCGGCAGTTTGGGGGTGGACCAGGGTTAGGCAGGGGGTCTGCTGGGCGCAGTGGGTGGTGGGGCGGGGCTGGCATGCTGCCCGACAGAGAGCGCCTTGCAGGAGCTGGTGGTCCTGGGCGCGGGGGGAACGTGGCAGAGGTGTCTGTTCTGGGACCTCAGCCGTGAGGCTGAGCCACACACCCTCCCCAGCACCTCAGTGAGGCCACTCTGGTTTAGGTGTGTGTTCAGCCCGCCCTCCGCCCCGACTGTGTCCTCAGATGTGCACCACGTGTGCTATGCTCAGCGTGACACCTGACGGCCGCTGGGCGTCTTGCTGTCTCTCCCTCCCTCCCTCAGTGCTGTGTTCTATTACTTCCGCCTGCCTGGCCCCTGGGCCCTGGCTGCTCCAAGTCCTGCATGTGCACCACCTCCTTTTCCTGTCTACAGCCCCCGGACCACTGCAGTGCTGGGCTGAGCATACTCGCTCATTCCCTCCCTGGGGGCCAGGCCAGCCCAGCTTTGTCCTCTGCAAATCAGAGGAAGACGCCCCCTGGGCAGGTCTGGGGGAGCACAGGGTCCTCTGGATTACATACCCCAGGTGTCCTCCAAAAGCACCCCCGCCCCCAGGCCGGGCTCTTACTAGCCTCTCTCAGGAGGATACTTCTGGGAGTAGGGCTGTCCCCAGAAGGGCTGTTCCAGGCCACACTCCGGGCCCTGAAGGTGGAGGGGATGAGTGAGGACATGGGAGGGGATGAGCTATAGCAAGCAGGGGTCCGATCACAAACGCCTCACCCCGCAGGAGCCCTGGCCTGTCCCAGAGGGGGCCCAGCCCAGGTTTAGGGAGGGTGCTTCCTGGGGCCCAGGGGCAGGAGCAGCCGGGGCTGGGGCTGTGGGAGAGGAGGCCAGGATGCGTGCAAGGGCCACCTTTATCCTTGCTGACCCATGGATGCTCCCTCCCACCGGGATTCCCCTGGTGTCTGGAATGTTGTCTGCCCAGGCCCCCTCCAGAAAGCCCATCGGCCTCCTCGCCGCCGGTCACACCCTCCCCCGAAGACTGGCTTCTCTCCCGTGGCGCCCAGCTGCTGAGGGCTCAGACCCAACGGCAAGCATCCTCCTTCTGTGGCTGTGGGTCGGGCTCGGGGCACCTCTGCTGTTCAAGTTCAAACCTTGCCCCCAGCGCGGACCGGAGCTGTGGGGGAGGGAGACGTGTGGGGAGCCGCAGCCGGGGCCTGGGGGGAGGGCAGGGTGAGGGCGGTCTCCGAGGTGGGCACAGGGCGCCGGGGGCGTCCTGATGTCCACGCACAGGAGGGGCTGGGGGAGCGCGGGGCTGGAGGGCACGGACTCCCCGGGCCCGCTGACCTGCTGACCGCTGGCCCTGCGGCCCGCAGAGCATGGGGGTGCCGGCGCGGACCGTGCTCTTCCAGAGAGAGAGGACCGGCCTGACGTACCGTGTGCCCGCGCTGCTGTCCGTGCCCCCCGGGCCCATCCTGCTGGCCTTCGCGGAGCAGCGGCTCAGCCCCGACGACGCGCACGCCCACCGCCTGGTGCAGAGGACTGGCCGGCTGGCCGGGGGCTCCGTGCGGGTGAGCGGCGCCGCGGGGGTGCCGGGCGGACCCTGCGGAAGGGTAAACTGAGGCCGCCTCCGCCCTCCCCTCCTCTCCCCTCCCTCTGGGCAGTGGGGCGCCGCAAGGAGGGCGGGGAGGGCGGGTAAACTGAGGCCGTTCCCTCCCCCCTTCGGGCAGTGGGACGCCGCGCGCGTGCTGGGGACGGCGGCCCTGGAGGAGCACCGCTCCATGAACCCGTGCCCGGTGCATGACGCGCGCACGGCCACTGTCTTCCTTTTCTTCATCGCCGTGCGCGGCCGCACCTCCGAGGCCGCGCAGATCGCCGCGGGCACCAACGCCGCGCGCCTCTGCTGCGTGACCAGCCGGGACGCGGGGCGCAGCTGGGGCGGCGCGCGGGACCTCACGGCGGAGGCGGTGGGCGGCGCCGAGCAGGGTAGGCCGGCGTACGCGGGTGGCGGGGGTCCGCACTGTGAGGAGGGGTCTGGCTGGGGGGATCTCCGGGCCACGCCTGCAGCCTAAGGTTCACCGACACCTTTGCGGCTGCGGGTCCCGGAACCTTCAGCCCCGCCCACAGGCAGGAGCAGGAGCTCTTTCATCTTCCTGAGCTTGTCTCTGAGCGCTGAGGTCTCTCGGCCTCCAAACCCCGAGGCCTCGCTGGCCTCCTTTACCACTTTCTTCTCCTCCTTCTCACCGCGCTTGAGCGGGGGGGGGGGGGGGGGGGGGGGGTTAGCCAGGTGGTCTGACCCCAAAGCTTTCTCTCCACTCCGCTGCCGTCTCCCTGGTGGCCGGGTCACCCATTGCCCTCAGGGGTCACCCCCACCCTGGCTAGCCGCAGACTCTGAGACCTGGACAGGACATACAGAATGGTGAAAAGAGCTATCTGCTCGTGTGGAGCCCACCCTGAAGGTCCTCACACCCCCTCCACCCTGGCTGCCCCTCTGTCTGGGCATCGCTCACACTGGGCACTGTCGGTGGCTGTCCGCCTGTGTTTGGGGACTGTCCATGGGCTCACATGCTGAGGACCTGGCCAAGTGGCCTGCCTGGGCTTCCCCCTCTTGCTGAGAGAGGCTAGTTTAGCCTGGGAGGAGTGGAGGGTGGAGGCATGTCAGCCAGTGGCTTGCTCACGAGCTGTCCTACTCCCAGACACTGGCCTGCCATCCATCCTGCCCACCCCCCAGGGTGGCGCTGCCCGGCCCTGGCTGTGGCTGTGGCTGTCTCCCTCCTGGGGTAACCAGCAGGCCCTCCTCTCCGCAGACTGGGCCACCTTCGCTGTTGGCCCGGGACATGGCATCCAGCTGCGCTCAGGCCGCCTGCTGGTGCCGGCCTACACCTACCGTGTGGACCGGCGAGAGTGCTTTGGCAAGATCTGCAGGACCAGCCCCCACTCCTTTGCCTTCTACAGCGATGACCATGGCCGCACCTGGCACCACGGAGGCGTCGTGCCCAACCTGCGCTCGGGCGAGTGCCAGTTGGCTGTGGTAGACGGGGAGCAGGCCAGCGGCATCCTCTACTGTAATGCCCGGAGCCCCCTGGGCAGCCGTGTGCAGGCGCTCAGTACAGATGAGGGCACCTCCTTCCTGCCCGGGGAGCTGGTGCCCACCCTGGCTGAGACCGCCCGGGGCTGCCAGGGCAGCATTGTGGGCTTCCCGGCCCCGCCCTTTAGCCAGCCCTGGGATGAGGGATGGTCAGTGGGTGCCAGGAACCCCCCCCACCCTCCACGCCTCAGTCCTGGAGTCCAGGAACTCCTAGAGGAGGGCGCTGGAGACACCCCAGGGGGCGAGGGACTGGGTGGGACAGAGGGATGTGGGGACAGCCCTGGGGAGCCTGGCCCAGGGCCTGGGCTCAGTGGGAACAGGGGGGCCTTGAAGCTCCCTGGGCCCCCTGCCACTTTGTCTCAGAGCCCCACATGGCTGCTGTACTCCCACCCGGTGGGGCGCAGGGCTCGGCTCCATATGGGCATCCGCCTGAGCCGGTCCCCCCTGGACCCCCACAGCTGGACGGAGCCTTGGGTGATCTATGAGGGCCCCAGTGGCTACTCTGACCTGGCGTCCATTGGGCCCACCCCCCAGGGAGCCCCGGCCTTCGCCTGTCTGTATGAAAGTGGGGCCAGGGTCTCCTATGAGGAGATCTCCTTCTGCATGTTCTCCCTGCCCGAGGTCCTGGAGAACGTGCTGGCCATCCCCGAGCCGCCCAGCCCTGGGGGCAAACCTCGGGGGTACTGCCGGCCCTCCTGAAGGGCCCTCGGGCAGGCCTAGGCCGCGGGCGCTGTCAGGGGCCGGGGAGGTGGGGGCGGTGGAGGGGGATGTAGCATGATCCCCGGCCTGAACAGAGCTCTGGGGCACTGGCTTCGAGAGGCGCCTTTGCTCTTTGGCTGCTCCCTGAAGAGTCGTGGGGACGACAGTGAGTCTTTGTGAAGGACCCTGTCGAATTAGACAAAAGTTCGGTTCTAATAGTTTCAAACAAGCCGGGCTGGCGCAGCCGAAGTCTGAGGGAGGTGGACTCTGAGCCCCGTGGGGGCAGGAGGTGGGCCGTGGAGGTGCAGCTGAGCCGGGTGACATAGGCAGCTCTCCTTGTGGGGCACCAGGACCCCCAGATTAGCATGAGGTGCTTCATCTTCCGTAGTGTTTTTCTCTTTAATCTTGCTCGGCGGACCGCTTTCTGGCTTATGAATGAGAAATCAGGGGGTGGTGCATTTATGTCCAGGGATGTTTCTCTTAAGTTCTTTCCATGTTGAAGCCCGGGAGAGGGTACTCGGTGCCCTAGCCCACTGCTCTGACCATCCCCGCCCCCCCCCCCCCAGTTTCATTGTGGGGTCTGCCCCCCCCCTTAGCCACACTCCCCAGTGGCTGGGGGCAGAATAAGGACAGGGGCAGCGGATCCCCTCTCTCTGGCAGCCCCCGGATCCGTGTGGGCTGTGCTGATGGCTGCCCTGCCCGCTCTGCGCCTCCGGCAGGTGTCAAAGCGGCTGCCCCTCCCCCACTGGGCAGAGCTGGAGTCGCCTCCCATGACCAGCCCACACGGAAGCATCTTTTTATTTCTTCTCCTTTTTAAAGTCTTCATTTCTGGTTATAAAAATAAGATATACTCCTTGTAGAAAATTTGGGAAATGTAGGAAACTAAAGAAAAAATAAAAATCTCCCCACCACAGCTACAATTATCCTTTTGATGTTTTTCTCTGGCGTCTTTTTCTTCTTTTCTTCTTTTAAAAAGATACAAGTGCATTTCAGCACAAGCGAGTTCTTTGTCACCCTCCCGGTCAGCTCTGCTTAGTGGCTCCCGAGCGTGCCGTGATGTAGTTTCTTCACCAGACCCCTGCTGGGTGACCTTCTGGTGCTGGTCAGTCTTCCCAGTTATGAGTCATGCTTGATGAGCATCTTTGGGGTGTCCCTGGGTGACCCCGGTTTCAGTCACCTCCTTAGGCTGGATTCGGGAGAGCATGACCGCCTTACACTGCCTTCCCAAAGGGTGGGGGCGTCCAGGAGGCCTCTGAGCTACCGAGGATCCACAGCTCCCCAGGGAACTCAGGCTGGCCAGTCCCCAAGGGAGCAGGGAAGAACTGTGGGTGCTCCCCTTCATTCTCAGCTGCCCTCTGCAGGGCTCGCAGCCTTTTGCGGGTTACTGCTGGGTTCCAGGCAGTGGTGGGATGGGGAGCCAGATCTGGGGTCCCTCAGAGCCTTGGGTGTGCCTGTGTTCACCCAGGGACCACCCACCTCGCGGTGGCCTCCGCCCCCGCCAGGACAGCCCCTACCTGGGGCCTTGGGGCAATAGCTCGGGCCGCTTTTCAGTTTTCAAATCTAACAGAGAAACCAGCAGAGATGGGTGGGGGAGCTTTCCAGAGGTACAGAAGGCAGAGGTGTGTGCAGCCGGCGTCCCCTCGCTCACTCCTGCGCTGCGTGAGCGATGTCCCCCAAATTCACCCCCACCCAGAGCCTGATTGTGACTTATTTGGAAATAGGTCTTTGCAGATGTAATTAAGATAAGGGTTGAGGTGAGATCATCCTGAATGTGGGTGGGTCCTAAGTCCAATGAGAGAGTCCTTATAAGAGACAGAAAAGGCCCTGTGGGGACGGAGGCAGGGACTGGAGTGATGCGGCCACAGCCAAGGGACACCTGGAGCCCCTGAAGCTGAAGAGGCGGGAAGGACCCTCCCCTGGAGCTCGGGAGGGAGTGTGGCCCTATGACATGGTGATGTCCGACTTCCGGCCTCCAGAACTGGGAGAGAATTAACCCCTGGTGTTCAAGCCGCCCGGTTTGTGGACTTTGGGAACTGATACACCCTGCTCCACTCGCCATCTGTCCGTCTATCTGTTGGGCCACCCACAAGCACCTCAAGGCAGCTCCTGGATGTTGTCCCTGAGCAAAACCGCTGCTTTCCCACCTGAGGGAGGGTGGGCTCTGTCCCCAAGGCGCATTGTCCCCAGGGGGGTTCCTGGCTGTCATTGCCTGGAAGTGTGGCATGGCCAGAAGGGATAGGCCTGGTGTCAGATGGACGTGGGCTCAAGTCCTGGCCCACTGTACTGGCTGGCACAGCAGGGACATTGCCAGCCTCCTGCTCCCAAGCAACATCTCTGGGTGGGCTCCTCCTTGCCCCCCTGCTCCCTGCTGGCTGGAGAGGGTCCCTGGACATCCCTCAGCTGAGCACCCCCTGCAGGGCAGGCTTGGGGTCAGGTCTACGGAGTGTCCAGAGCTGGCCCTCCTCAGGTAGGCCCATGCCAGTGGCATGGACTCTTTGGGGAGAGGTCCGGGGCCCCCCTGACTCCTTGTGGTCTCAGGCAGCTGCTGAGGGCCCCAGGCAGGGTCTCCCCTGGTATGACCCCTGCAGGCAGGGAAGGAGGGAGTAAGAGTTCCTGGGCTCAGGGCAGCTTGGGTCCCCTCCTGGAACCCTCCTCCCCCACCCCCACTTGCACCTGCTCTGGTTGGTCCTCGAGGGGCTCAGACATCTGGTGCTTGCAGGAGTTGGGGTCAGCCGTGCCTGGGACACCCTGCCCCAACTCTCTGGGCCTGGACCCAGCTGCGGGCTTTCAGAGGTCAACTTTGCTGGGGCCTCTGCCCGTGGCTTCCCTGGTCCTGGGAGACCTTGGGCAGTGCCCAGGCTCTGGGGTCACAGATCCTCATGGTGTGCCCTAGCCTCCCCCCTACAGGAGCTGCTCCTCTGACACCAGACACCCCAGCTCCCCTCCTCCAGCCGCTGCCTCACCCCCGGGCTGCTCTGAGCCCCGTGTGGCCCCTCTGAGGTGGCCCTACCCTCTCCCAGCCTCTTCCTTCCTTCCTCCACTTGGAACTTGATGGGCCAGATCAGCCCTGGACGGTTCCCTGGGCCCTGCCACACTCCCGCGGGCTGTCCCCAGGCAGGATCAGGCTGCGCTCGGGCCAGAGCACCGAGCCAGCACTGGGAGTTGTAGCATCCTGATTCCTCTTCCTGTCTTCCTGGAACGTGAGTCCCCAAACTCTGCCTCCTCACTGTATGCTTCTTGCTCTCTTCTGTGCATCTTCCAGCATCCTCTCTGTCTGTGCTTCATTCTGGTTGGTTTCTCTTGACTTTTCTTCCAATCTGCTGATTTTCTCTTTCTTGTGTTTAGTTGGCTGGGAGTTATTCTCTCCCCCCATTCTCTGCCTCTGTCTCTGTGTCTCTATCTGTTTTAATTTTCTGCTCCATTTTTGTGTGTGTGTGCAAACATTTATAGGTTTCCCGAGTGCTACACGCTTTCTATGTTTTATTCCTTTAATAGAGTCCCAGCCCCCGGGAGGTGGATATTATTTCCATTTTCCAGTTGTGGAAATTGAGGCTCAGCGACTTCCCGATGGTCTCACCGTTTGGGTCTCAAGAAACCAGCTTGTGATCTGTTTGATGTTCCCACATCCATTCTCGTAAATGTTCCCCTCCGTGTGGTTAAATAATCACCATGGACACAAACATGTCTGTAACTCGTGAAGCCTGAGGCTCACCCATCCGTTCTGCTCCCTTGAGGTGAGAACATCCCGCATCTTTGCTGATGCTCGCAGAAGCAGAATATGGGCGGAGATACATATGGATACAGCTCCCTTTTACCAAAGTAAAGCGGCTGCATTGTCATGATTCCACAGCTGGCTGTCCCATGTGAGAGGGGGCTTGGCCAGGCCCTGTCGCCCTTCAGACAGGGCTCATCCCCCCAGTGCTGTCTGCTAATGACCCTTGGCTGCTTCCCTCCATCCCTCAGGCCTTGCTCCCAAGGCCTCCCGCCTGCAAACCTCTGTCCCGGGGTCTGTTTCCCAAGGAGCCCAACGAACAACATGAGCGTCTTTCGAGACTCACGTCCTAACTCATTCTTCCTGCGTGACTGCCTGATGCATCCTACAGCATCGACGGACCCTGATCAATCCAACAGTTTCTTATTGAGGGACATTCAGGTCCGTGCTGGTCTTAGGATTGTTACTATGGCCACTGCGAACAGCCACAGTGTACATCTTGGAGCATTGTCCTTACAGACTGAGCTTTGATTTCTGCAGGATGGCTTCCCAAAAGTGGGGCGATCGAGTGATGAGCTCTGTAATTTTTATTTTAACGGATCATAACAGATTATTTTCTCAAAAGGAGTAGTAATTCACAGCCTATTAGTCACATATGGGAAGGCAATTTTTTTTTTTGCAGCATTCCACATTATCTACCTTTTTACTTTTTTCTAATTTGGTGGGTGAATGATGGCCTGTTGAGCATTTCCTGTAAGACTGTGAGCTTTTGATTGCACTTGTCCTGGGTGTAGACTCACAGAGAAGGTGAGTGTGAGCTTCATGGACCAACAGTGGGGCCTTAACCTTCCCCTTCATGTCTGCTAATTTCCTCCTCCTCTCCAGGAAACACAGTTCTGTTAGGTCTCACGCTATGGCAACTTGCCATACCGGGGGAGGCGGGGTCCTTATCAGGTAGCATTTGTAACAGAAAAGAAAAACCTAGGCTTTGGGTTGTGAGCAGCTCAGGACAGCACCAAGGACAACATCGTCAATAGATGCAGAATGAGGTGGGGTTGTTGTCTTCATTAGTCTTCAGACTCTGAGCCATTTATCAAGAATTGTTTGGAAGATGGGAGGGAGGGAGGGAGGACTGCCCACACAGAGCAGGTCCTATGGGAGGCTGGCAGGAGCTCTTCCGGGATGCCCGCATTAAACAGAGAGGTTCAACCGACACGTATGAAGACGGAGAATGAACGTGAGATGTGCAGTCAGAGTCCGAGGCTCCAACCTCAGCGTCGAAGCTATGTGGCCACGGAACTCCTTAGAGCCCCTTCCCCTCATCCAGGTTGGTGGGCTGGAGCCAAGTGATGCTTTTACAGCAAGATGGTTTGCATGGCTGTGCTGGGACCCCACAGCGCTCCTCGGTAGAGCCGAGGGTGGCAGCCACACCGGGGTGTGGGGAGTTTGGGCACCGGGATGCCTGAGGTCACCTATGAACTCCAAGCAGAAAAAATAAAAGGAAAACCACATCTTAGTAAGACCAATGGAACCAAAGATAGGGAGGAATCTTAAAATTGGTCGGAGCAATGGATGACCTTGAAAGAAGCAATATTTAGGTTAAAGTTGACTTCAAGACCAAAACGATGGAAACCAGACAATGGAACGATTTCTTCAAGATGCACTGAAGCATATCCTTCAAGAATGAAGGTAAAATAATGACATTTTCAAATAAATAAAAATGACCTAATTTGTCACCAGCAGACTCACGCTCAAGGAAATATGAAAGGACACTAAGTGGAAAGAAGGTGGTTGTGGGTGGAGCGTCAGGTGGACACTGGCAGGAATAAAGGGGGTCAATCTGAGTGAAGGTTTGCTGCACAAAACCCCAAATCTCGTGGGGTCTCAGCCACACAAGCACTTGAAACACGTCAAATGAAAGCACCGGAGTGGGGAGGGAGGTAATGGGACGACAGTCTTCTGAGGTCCCCGTGTTGTCTGAGAAAAGGTAAAAGTACCAGTTTATACCAGCCAAGGGGACACGTGTCATCTCCAGTGTGTGCGCTAGAAGAATACAGAATTGTACAGACTGGTAGAGAGGACAGACAGAAAAATAGAAAATGATCAATTCCAAAAAGGCAAGAAAGGAGAGAAAATATACGTAGAATTCGTAAGATAAATGGAAAGTAAATATTAAGGCAGATGATTTAAACCCCAACACGTTGGAATTGCGTTAATGTAAGTTGACAAATGTTTCAGTTAAGAGACAAAAATGGCCATGTTGGCAAAAACCAAACCAAACCAAAACAACAACAAACCCCGTCAAAACCCAACTATATTCCACTGACGCTGTAGTGTATGAGACGTAGTCACACCGAAGCTTGAGAGTTAAGGAGAGGGACGATTGACTGTGATGAAATATACTCGTAGGAAGCTGGGGGAGCTTTCTTTCTGTCAGGCAGAGATCTTCAGGAGAAAACACCACAGGGAATAAAGGGAGACATTGATTCAACAGAAAATTCTAAAAATTTTAAATTTGTGTCTAATATTATGCCTCAAAATATGAGACAACAATGGACAGATCTATGGGGGGAAACAGATCCTCCACAATTGTAGGAGAAAGTTTTAGACGCAACTCTCCCAGCAACTGATGGAGCTGGCAGACAAAAACCAAATCAGCTGGGACCCCCAAGATCTGGCCAACGTGCCGGACAAGCTTGACCATATTGGCACATGAAGCACACCGCCCAAAACAATGCGGAATGTACAGTCCTTTCACATGCACTCAGACATAAACATCAACATTATGTTGGGTCATAAAGTCAAGCCTCACAGACCTCAAAGGATTGAAAATTGTGGTGAAATTGAGCTAGAAACAAAAACAGAAGATAATCAAAAAACTTCATATGTTTGAAAATTGAGAAACAGAATTCCGGATAACTCATGCTTCAAAGAAGAATCCACAGTGGAAATTAGGAAGGATTTTGAAATTAATTATACGAACACTACGTAAAACTAGCGGGATGAAGCTAAAGCTGGGATGCCGGGAGCCGTGGCTACATCATTTGATTGGCTGTTTGACAGGGTCCAGCCGATTAACGCCGAGGGGTGCAGGGTCGCCCCTTGGTGAAGAATAACCGGCCGGCCCCTCACATAGTTCTGAAACCTGTGCTGCTTCTAATTGCCCTTCATTCCTTTTCCTTTCTTAACCTCTAGTTTTCACTCCTTTGGGTGGCTACTTGGGAGGCACTACCTCCCGGGAAAATTAGATATAGTAAGAGAATGTGACCACCTGCAGGTAACTTTCAAGATATTTTTCAGTTAATTAATGGAGGAGCACACAGTCCCTTTTGAGACAAGCAGAAAGGAATCCTGCCCAGATAAGATGTCGAATTAGGTTTATGGCCTCCATCTGGTTAATGTTTCCTTCTCCCTCCAGTTCTTTGTCTAAATATATATATGCATCGTCCTTCTAAGTTTGCTGGTTAATTGGATGATCAAGAAGTATCTATATATTATTCTTGACCTTCTGCTTTCTGTTAAAATGTTATAGAGGTTTTCTCCTAAAAGCAATAAATAATAAATAATTGATGAGTAGAAGGGCCGAGGGGTGCAGGGATGCCCCTCGGTGAAGAATGGCCGGCCGACACCCCTGATATTTTCTGAATTATATGCATGCTTTCTAGCAAGGTTATGTCTATACTTATTTCTGTTTTTCATTCTTGAAGATATATAGTTTAGCTTAGCTTTTCAGCCCTTTACTTTACTAACAATATGATACTTTCTCCGGCAGTGTGCTTAAGGGACTGTTAGCTCTACAATCTAAAAGACAAAGGAATGCTTTCACCCCCTAACGGGCGCGAAAATGTAAAGATGTTTAACTGCCCGCTGAGAATGCAGATAGCCCTGGGGATAAGACACCCTGGAGTCACCTTTTTTTCCCATTAACCATCTACACTAATGGCCTAAATGATTGAGGGAGGCAGGGATGGCTCCACCAGGATGTAACCAGACGGACTGCTGTCCTGTCTGGAGGCCTGGACCTTCTCTCTTTGATGTAACTTTACCAGGAATTACAACAGATGCCTAGGTACCTATCTCTTTTAGCTTAGAGACAACAAACACTAGTTAATTGCGGAGAAGACTACCATTAACCTTATGCTCTATAGAATAGAATGCTAATAAATATTCTTGTGCTCTTTTTTACTTCCTTATCTCTCTGAGAATATTTGTAGAACTATTTCTGTACTAATCCTGAAAAATATATAAATGACACGTGCACAGTAAAGTCGGACTTGCTAACACCAACCCAAGTCTCACGTCCTCTTTATTTTCCCCTCATTGTGCCGACGCCGTCCATCCCTCAGGAACCTGGACTCAGCCGGGGCGGGACTCTGGCACTGGGATAGCGGGAAATGGACCGAAGGCCAACATCATCGAGCTCACGACGTTAGAAAAAGGACAGCAAATTGTGCCCAAAGAAAGTTGAAGGCAGGGAATGATAAAGAGCAGAACTAATGGGATGGAAATCACACAACAGAGGGAAGAGACGAAAAGGGGAGGCTGTGCATCCCTCTGCTTGAGGGGCTCTGGGAGGTACCCCTGACATGTGGGGAGCCCAGGGCACCCCACACAGTGGGAGCCGAGGGCTGTGGGGAGCCTCCCACACCAGGCTCTCCCGCAGGACCCACACCTCAGCCCCCCAGGCCTCAAACACCAGCCCAGCCTCTGTAACCCCAGGGTGGGCTCTCTTTGAGATCCATTTCTCTCTCCTGGGGGAGACCTGGGCCTCAGCCCCTACTCCACTCACAGGCCCTGACCTTGGATTTCCTGGCTGGGCGCAGACTCCCATCCTAACTGTCCCACAGGACCTTGGGTTTTTAAGCCGAGGTGTCCAGTCCCTGCTCCCAGCACTGCAAACCGGGCCACTGAGGGCACAGGTGGTAGGAGGGTGTGTCCCGGCCAGAGCGGTTGCAAGAACGGGCTCAGGGGGCAGGACGGGGAGACTGGTGGGCCCCAGGCTTCTGGGCAGCCATTCTACATCCTGCTCTGGGTTCCTTGCCCACCCGGGTCTCAGGCCTCATTCGGGAAGCCCAGGCCCCAGGCTGAGACTCAGCCACGCCCAGACCCTCCTGACACCGGCTTCGTGAGATGCTCAGATGCTAGGGACGGACCCGCTGGAGCGGGTGTGGGTGGCAGTGGGTGAGACGCTCAGGCTAGGGCTGGTGACACATGCGATGGGGGCAGAGCAGGGGAATGGAAAAAATGAGTGGCGGCCCGCTGCAGGGGCCGCCTTACGGGAAGGCAGAATGCAAAGTGCTGACTGCGTCCCTCTCACTTCTTATCTGAGCCGCATTGCCACCAGCGAGTGGCCCTGCACCGCCAGCTCGGACGGCCGGCAGCTCGACAGGCGACCGCTTCCTTCCCTCCTCACGGCTCGCTCTTTTGTCTTTTTTTTTTTTAAGTGTCAATGTGAACTCTTGCTCTTTTAAACATTCTCAAAGCGTGGTAATCCATTAGATTTTTACTTTTACTTTTGGTATTTTCGATGTTCAAATTGCTCCCTTGTCTTTGGACAGGGCCCCAGCCTGGTTCCTTTCCTTTGGGGGCAGCGAGATCTCTCCATCCGTTCTGCACACGCCCCACGCTGACCGCACAGGTGTCTGTCCAAGGAGCCAAGTCCACCCCGTGTCTGAGCCAGGCCCCTCCTGCTCCAGCTGCCAACTGCCGGCTTAGCCCCAAGACCCAGCATGGTGAACCCCACGTGCTTCTGTCAGCTCACGTTTTTGCCAGTCACCCCTGGGAGGTATTTCACAGGTGGGGTTCATGGGTCAAAGGGCAAAACGCTTCCCTAACTGCTAGATCACCTCCACTTCTCCAGTTTGCATTTCCACCCGTAGTGCAGGAGGGGCCCGCTTCCCCACGTCCTCCAGCCGGGTGGCGTCCAGCTCCCAGTCTCGCCAGTTGCCTGGTGCTGTTGTAACCTGCGTTTTTCTTATTATGAGTAAAACAGAACATCCTTTCCCTTGTGAGGGATACGTGTGTATTTAGCGCGTGCATGTGCCTGAACTGTCTGCTCACATCTGCTCACTTCTCCCTTGTACCTTTGACCTTCCTTTTCCCATATTTTTAGCTCTTTCTGTCTTTAGCCTCTCGGGTGGTATTGCAAATGCTTCCCCCAACCCCCCTGGTTTGCTTTGATGATTTTTGCTCATTTTCTCCTGTTCATAGAGCTGACTGTGTCAGTCTCCTCTGTAACCGCGCCCTGATTTTGAGCAGTGACGTTTCCTATTCCTTTGGGGGGAAGGAATCTGCCCTCGTTTTCTTCAGGATCTTGTGGGGTTTCTTGAGTACACCTACGTCTGTTGCTCATGGCGTAGGCCTGGTCTCTCTTCTGAGCCGCTATGCTGCCCCAACGCCATTTGTTAAAAAGTCTCTCTTCCCCGGTCGACTGGAGCTCTCTGTTCCTTCTTTTCGTGAGCTAACACCTCTGTTTTAATTACGATTAGTTTTAGATCTGATAAAGCTGGTCTTCTTTCACTTTCTTTTCATGGTTTTCTTGGCTGTTTCTTGCTGGTTTGTCTTTCCGTATGAACTTTACAGTTACAGAAATGTGGGTTCTTATTGGGATCATGTTAAACTTACACGTTAACCCAGGAAGAGCTGACGTCTCGAGGGTGCCGTGTCATCCTGACCGAGGACACCGTGTGCTCAGCCCACACTGCACCCCAGCTCTCCTCCGTCGAGTCCCCGCGGTTCTCACTACATTCGTGCCTTGAGTGTTTTATCTTCCCTGTTGCTGTTGCAGACGGAATATTCTCTCTCACTTTTTCTTCTGACTGGTTATTGTTTGAATATATGAAAGCCACTCATTTCTGAATGTTAATTCTGTATCTGCTACTTGACGAGATTTTCCTATTGCTGTGGCAGTTTTTCCACAGAACCTACTGGGTTTTCCAGGCACGCAAACCGCGTCATCTGCAGAGGTTCCGGCGGTGTTCCCGTTAATGCCTGACCGTGTTTGGTGTCTCCACAGTGAACTGCTTCCTCGCGTGTCCTGGATGTTGTGATTCTGCCTCCTGCCCCACCCGGGGACAGGACCCCAGGGCGGCGAGCACATGATGGGAGGTTGCAGGGCTGGGAGCTGGTCGGGGTGCCCGAAGGTCTGGACGGGGCTGACTGGCAGGGGCAAGGTTGGGGGTGTCTGTCACTGTACTTAGGGACAAGGGCCAAGGACACTGTGGTGGTGGTGGATCCCCTCCTGGAGGACAGAACAAACACCCCTTTGCATATGGGAGGGGACTGTGTTTCCCCAAAGATGCTGCAGTCTGTCTGTGGCACCCTGACCCCTACTCACCCACAGGGTGGTGCAGCCCACTGACCAGCCTGGCCTGTCCCCCTAGCACTGCCCGGGAGGGACTCCCTGGTATGGGGGCATGTAGAGGGTGGAACAGGGCAGATACAGGCACAACCACTCAGGAGACACCCTGTGCTGGGCTGAGTGGTCAGGGGGCAGGTGCCGTGGGACCCTGGGGCATGGAGCCCGGGAGGAAGGGCCTCTCGGGAGTGGTGCTGTACGGCCCCAGAAGTCAGAGGGATCTAGCGCCCCCGAGGCTGTGGGTGTGAGCGTGGGGGGCAGAGAGTTGAAGGACTTGGGGCCTGTGTGTTTCTGGGACAGTGAGGGGAGGGCCAGGCCTGCTGAGGACCAGGCTGGCTGCCTCCTCCATCTTCAGCCCAGCGCCCGCAGCCCTGGCCAGCAGAGACTGGTGCTCCCTCCCGTCTCCCCCCACAACTGTGAGCAGGAGAGAACTCAGGCCTTTCTGGGAGCTTTGTCATTATTTAATTATAATAAAATAGAACCAAGTCCCCTCAGCTCAGGGGCTCTGAAGTGTGTGTGGAACCCGAGGGAGCATGTGCCCCTGAGTCCCCGACGCCCGTGCCCACAGGCCGCCCTGCCCTGGACGGCCGATGTGCAGTGTGCGGGCTGGGCGAGGAGCGGTGGGTCTGGCCGGAGGCGTCTGGCTGAGGAGACACCTACCCCCCCACACCCCGGGCGAGAGCCCAGCAAGGCTTCTTTAAATAGCACCGTGAATGGGCACCAAGAAGAAGGGGAATCCCCGAGGAGGATAAATAGGGCGACTCCTGGGGCCCCCCAGGATGGCCTCAGCTGGGAGGACTGCAGCTCGGCCTGCGCCCTTCATTGCCCCATTTCCCGGGAACGTGTGAGGGTGGACGGGGTGCGTGCAGAGGTTGGCCCTCGGGCAGCCTGCCTCTGCCCCGCCCACCACTGCCAGGAGCTCTTGTCCAGGCCTGGGGGAACGTGAGGGCCCCTGGAGGAGCGCCAGCCCCTTGCGTGTCTGCGAGCCCCTCCAGGTGTGTGCTGGGTCTCTTCGCTACGGCCTTGCCTCACGGGCCGCCCCAAGGCACAGTCTCCAGCCAGGAGCCCGGCGCCCCCGTGTCCAGGCACCAGCCTCCCCCAGGAGTCAGCGGGGGCCATGGAGACCCCCATCCTGGCCACAGCACCGGCCCCCATGCTCCCCGAGGAAGGATGTGTGCAGGGGGCACAGAGCTCTGGCCAGCGCAGTCCAGGACAGGGCCTGGGGTCCTGGGAGGGTCTCCTTCCATTGCCCACATGGGACCGTGGAACCCCCTGCCAGGTCATCACGAGCACTGAAGTGAGAGCCAGCCGCAGGGAGTGGTCCCCAGACAGGGCTCGGCACCGGGCAGCCCCTCTCCCCTGCATCTCCTCCAGGGAGGGCGCCACCCTGGGCTCTTGGCGCAGGGTCTGAAGGACTCCGGCCGGCAGAGGACGCCTGTCAGAGGGGCCAAGAGCAGTGTCCGTCCTCAGGCCTCAGAGGCCGGGGCCCCTGGGGGTCATCGGCGGAAGCCCTGCGGCCCTGTGAACCCGGCCTGCCCGGGAAGACAATGGTGGCGTACTCAGTCTGTTCCGGGACGCAGGGGGCGGGGGGCTCCGGGGTCTTCTCTCGCCACTGGAAGTCCAGCTCGCCGTAGTCCACGGAGAACGCGGGTGGGGCAGAGGGGCCCTCCTTCTTAGGGAGAGAGGGAGGGGAGTCAGCAGCCTCCGAGTGGCTGATGCTCGGGCGCGCACACACACGCGTGCACACACAGAGCAGGGGCAGGGCCCACACCACCCTTCTTGGGGCCCGTGTCCCCAAGTTCAAACACGGTGACACGGCTGGGGTCGTGTGCGGCTGCTCCCCCTGGGGCAGAGTGGACCCCGCCCGCCCCCAGCGCTCTCTGTGTTTCCTCGCGGTCGCAGCAAAGGGAATCAAACTCACCAGGGGCTCGTCCCCGCTCCTGCCACAGGCCCCTGCGGAGAAGCGCGCTTGGAGTCAGGGACCCCGGGGTGGGGGGAAAGAGGGGCTCAGTGGGGGTCCCTGTCCCCAGGGGCTTGGGGGGGCCAGCCAGCCCTGGGAAGGGCACCATGCCATCTGTCCTGGGTGGCTGAGCATCCTCCTTGTCCACCCTGACGGTCCGGCCAACCCCACTTCCCGTGCAACAACCCAGGCCCCCACCCTTCTCCCAAAGGTCCCGTCTGGATGGTGAGCTGTCCGGGCGCATGGCCATGGAGGACCGCTGGCTTCCAGTCTGAGTGCTCCTGCCACAGGCTCCTGATATCTCTGGTTGCAACCTTGGGCCCAGTCTAGCGCTCCATGCAGGGTGCCAGCCCCCCACCCCCCCAACTGCCGGCTGGCGCAGCGAGGCACACAGAACCATAATCAATGATGTTACGGCCCGTGTTTCTCCAACTGATGCTGCACAGAAATGCCATGTGTGTCTCCACCAGGGGCCAGCACATGGGGCACACAGCACGTTCTCAAAAATGTGTCAAGGAGGGAAACGTGAAGCCCTTGAGACATGGACTCCCAAAGGAGCCTGGCTGCAGCAGGTCAGGAATGGCCCACCGCTCAGTGCTGCTTTCCCCGACCTGCCCAGGGGGAGATGCTGGAGGCCGGCAGCTGCCCAAGGTCGATTTCAGGTCCCTGTGGAGCCTCCTGTTCTCTGGCCCCCTCCCCCCACCAACAGGGGCCTGTCCTGGGAGAGCATGACCTGGAGCCGCTGGTGCTCAGGGCCTGGGAGGGGGCTGAGCCCTGGGCTGGGTCCTGTTGGGGCAGTGGCTCCAAGAGAATCAACTCTGTCCTCTCCTTCCAGCCCCAGAGACATCCCTCCATTGTTAGAGAGATTGAGTGAGACCCGCTGCCTGGGACCACATTCGGTCAAGGTGTGTGTGTGTGTGGGCTTGGGACGTCCACAGCATCCCCCTAGGTGGTCAGGATGTGTGTGTGTGGGGTCGGACATCCACAGCGTGCCCCAAAGTGGTCAGGATGTATGTGTGGGGAGTGGGGCACCCACAGCATTCCCCCAGGTGGTCAGGATGTGTGTGTAGGCAGTGGGGTGTTCACAGCATCCCCCCGGCGGTTAGAGTGGGACGTCACACATTGCCCTGGTGGCTGTGACTGTGACCACAGGCGGCCGGCTGTCTCTTTCAGCATCCTGCAGCCTGAGGTTTGGGGTGGCCTCAGCGCAGCCAGAACAGGTTGCTCAGCCTATGGGGGGCTGTTCCTTTCTGTGCCACCTAGAGAACTGACTTCCACACTTGCACCTCCCCTCAGACCCCTCCTGAGAGCAGGCTCCGGGGAGGGGACACGGCCACGGTCTCTGAGGGGACCCCGGACCCTGGGAGGCCCAGTCCAGCCCCTCCCTGGGGAGGCCTCCCTGGGGAGGGCAGGGGGGTCAGACCGGGGATGGTGGCGGGGGCGTTACCTCGAGCGGCCCTGGGGAAGGTGGTGGTCAGGACACAGGCCAGCAGCAGCACCAGCAGAACGCCGACCAGGAGGCTCGTGATGCCCACGACCAGGCCCTGTAACTGGCCTGCGGGACTGGGCGGGGGGCTGGGGTGCTCTGTGGGCGGCTCTGGGATTCTCTCTGGAGGGGCCCAAGGACAGAGACTCAGGGACAGGACTCCTCGGGGACAGGGACCCAGAGCCCTGCCCTGCCCTCTCCACGTCCCGAGGGGCCTCACACCTAGATCTGTGGGCACCCGTCTCACCCAGGCCTGCGCCTCGGTAGCGCATCGGGGCACAGGTGCCCCCGAGAGGCGCCCCCACTGCCCCTCCCTCAGGACACATGGGCCTGGGGGTGCCTCTAGTCACAGAGGTCCCAGCCATCGGTCCCTGTGTCCCGGGGGTGGGACAGAGCCATGGGGTGGAGCCTGGCAAGTCCCTGCCCACTGCACCCTGAGGCCGAGGCTGTTCCGGCTGGCCGCCCCTGCCCGCGGGTCACCTGTCACCGTGAGCTCTGCACGAGGGCTCTCGTTGATCTGCGTCTTGGGGGGCAGGGAGATGGCCCCGCAGAGGTAGATGCCACTGTCATTGCGCCGGGCAGCGAGGACGCTCATGTGGAAGTCTCGCCCGTTGGGCAGGCGTGTGACCCGGAAGCGCCCGCTCCGGCCGGGCTGGCTGCTATCCTCGGGGAAGGCGGCCAGCTTGTCCGTCTGGTTGCTGGGGCTCATGCGGTACCAGTTGAGCACGAAGTGCTCGGACGTGTTGGAGAAGCTGCAGGTGAAGGTGGCATTCGCTCCCTCGGGCACCATGAGCCGGGCCGGGGAGAAGGTGAGGGGCCTCCAGGGCCTGTCCGGGGAGTCTAAGAGGTGGACAGAGAACCAGCGGCCAGTGAGGAAGGGGCGTGGGGACATCCCACCCAGACCCTCCCTTCCCACTTTCCCACATCCTGGTAGGAAGGTTCTGGAAGGCCCAGCCCACACTGGAACCCCTCTGCAGCACCTCTGCCATGGAGCCTCACAGCTTCTCCTTGCATGCCCCCAGGGATGGAGTGCTCACCTGTCACCAGGTGACTCCCTGGTGGGACTTTGTCCTTTGACTGTACTGAGACCTGAGGCCTGGGGTGCATTCCGGCTGGGACCCCTGGGCCCCGTTTCTCCCCGAGAGGTGGTTGTAGGGGCCTCCTCTCCCTCCCTCGGTGACTCCAGGTTGCCTGTCTTGCAGCCCTATCCCCCACGTTCTGCTATCCTTGAACCCTGATCCCTCAGGGGGCCTGCCTGGTCCTGTCTGCCCTGCTTGGGTGGAAGGGGAGGGTAAATGGGGCGCTGGGCTGGACGAGTAGGGCGCTTCCCAGGAGAGCCCAGCCCCTTGCAGGTTCAGGGTCCAGGCTTTGCCCCCATCTCAGAACAAGTTCAGGGTTGGGACCTGGGTCCCAGCCCACAAGGACCCCCAAGTGGGTGCCGCTACCCTGGGCAGTGTGGGGGCCTCCATGTCTTCTGCCAAGACTCTGGGGACTGGAGCTCAGAGGCAAGCTGGGCCATCGCCTCTGGTCTGCACAGAAGGCAAGGCCCCGATGATGCCGGGCTCTGAGCGCCAGGGCCCTGTTGGGGGTACGCCCCACAATGTTACAGAGGCCTGCGGCACTTCCCACCAAGGGCCTGCCTCTCACATCAACACTCACACCCGTGCACACACGCACACCTAGAAACACAGGAACACATTCACACTCACGTTCACACACGCATGAATGAGCATGCCCTCGCACGCTCATACTTGACTTGCTGGCACTCAGGGGAAGGAATGCCTCCTGTGGAGGCCCCGGCGACATGCCTGCAGCACCCCACGTCAAGTCGAGGTGGACTCTGACGGTGACGCAGGGGTCCCGGGGTGGGAGCCACGGCCAGACCCACACGAGCTGGACCTTCCCCTCCTGCGGCGGCTCCCACGGAAGGCTGTGCCATGATCCCTCATTTAGACATGGGGAAACTGAGGCTCGGAGGGAGCAAGCAGCTCTGTCCAGACCAAACCCCAAGCCTGCAGCCAGCTCCCCTCGGCCCTCTGCCGTGTGACCGGCCCGGGACTCAGGGGCCTCTCTGCCCAGCTCTCTGCCTCGCTCCTCGGGCCTCAGCTGCAGCCTCCTTGCCAGGGAAGGGCCCACCAGACCCGAGATACTGCCCAATGCAGTCGTTCCCCCCGCCCACCCAACACGTCTCACACCACAGGATTCCCAAATCCTGCTCCTAACCCTGGGACGTCGGTCCTGGGAGGAGCCTGTGGGGCTGGTACCCTCACGTCATTCATGTCTGTTCTTCACTTCTGTTCTCATTTCTGATCTCATGTCTGTTCTTCCCGGCTTCACACTCATTGTTTTACTCAGCTCCATCCCGAGCGATGGTATTTGCTGGGGGTGGTCCCTCACACACGAGCTACGAGCTGCGAGCTACGGGACAGACCCGAGGCTGTGGTCCCTGGCTACAGTCCCTCTGCTTCGCAGACAGACCGGCCTGAGGCTGTTGCAATGACCTGCTCACTGAGCGCTCGCGGCTCCCAGGAGGAAGAGGACGGTGCAGGCCCCAGTGCCCCTGCAGCCCAGAGGGCACAGGGACCCCCCGAGTGGGCCCCATCAGGGCACGTGTGACCAGGAGGACTCCTTCTGCCCATTCCTGTGGGGCGCCTTGCACGGGGAGAAATCAGATATTTAGAAAGGGCAGGTAGGCCTTGAGGGGGTGAGATGGGGGTGTGTCCTGAGGTGTCCCAGCATCCTTATGTTTCCACGGCCAGCTCAGGGACATGCGGGGCCGTCTGCCCTACCTGAGCCCATTTACACCTAGGACGCTGAGGCTTGGAGAGGCCGGACCCAGCCAGCCTGGACCTCCGGCCATTTCTGCTGCTCTGCCACCTCCCCTGGCCATCGACCAGTGATCAGGCCTGGCCCATGGCCAGTACTGCGGCTGTTGGCACTGCGGACCTGCCGGGTGCCAGCTGGACGTGAGGGTGGTGCCTCACGTGAGCCGCGGCCAGGAGGACCCCCCCATGCTGGGGGTCCCTGGGCCCTTGTAGGTGGGGTCTCTGCAGGGTGGGTGGCAGCCCACGTGTCTCTGTGGCTCTTCAGAGGGTCTGTCCCACTGGCCAGGAGGGCAGGAGCTGTCAGGGAGGCCAAGGAGCCCAGAAGGGGCCCAGCTTGGACTGGGGGGGGTGGCCGGTACAGGTGGGGTCCTCCCCTCTCAGCCAGGCCCGCTGCCCTGTGGGGCCCGGGCGTCCACACACTTCTGCTCCCCCAGGGTGAGACAAACACCACGGGGCCCCTGGGAAGCCCTTTTCGCTCTTGGCAATTGTGTGTTCTCACCCCACACCCCAAGCCTGCCGCATGGGAACTTCCCTTGGCAGCACCGACGTGCATCTCTTTATCTTTATTCACGAAGCTCATAGTCGACTTAAAGAAAGCATCCTGTCCGTGACGGACTGCCCGCACTTGAGTATGGCCAAGTCGTGCTGTGGCCTCGGAGCGCCAGACCCGAAGTGCTGGTTCCGTCGGCCCACCCTGCTCTGTGAATCGCCCGCCCGGTGCCTCCCAGTCTCCCACTGCGTCGGGACCAGAAACCCAGGTGCCCCTCACCAATACCCCCAGGACTTCCCAGTCTGGGTGGCGCCGCCCCCAGGTCGCTCTCCCACCCCCTCTGGGAATCCATGCCGCCGCCTGGTGGACCGCCAAGGCCTCCAAACAGAAGCCCCTCTTACCGCCAGGGCCACCGGGAAGCTCGGGGTGGGGGGAGCCCACACGGGGCACAGAACAGGAGCCAGGAGCACCGTGGGGACGCCGACCAGAGGACAAGGCCAGACCTCACTGGGGCACACGGCTCTCTGCTTTCTGGGAGCAAGCGGGACAGGCAGAGGGGTGCTGTGACGGCGGTTCAGGGTGGCGCTGACCTTTGAGTCAACCAGAGCCTTCCTGGCACGGCGCCGATAGCAGAGCTCCTTTGAGTACACTGGCCTGGGGTCCTGCTGTACCCGTACAGAATGAATATCTGTGAATCTTTTCTTACATTGTTTGTGTAATAATTTAATTGCTGGCTTTTTACTTTGTACTTGATAATGGGGTGTCAGGCCCTCTTTTCTGTTTGGAGAGAGGGCTGAGGAGAGAGCTCTGGGCCCTGCAAGGTCAGGAGGCAGACTCCCTCAGGGCAGAGCCCGGGGCCTGGGACGGGCTGTGAGCATCGAGGGGGCACCAGCCTGGCTTTCATGGAGACCCGGCCTGGCTCAGAGGCGGCCTTGTAGACAACACGTTTCACAACCACCACCCAACACCCGATTTGGGCAAGGCCCACCTGTGGGTGCTGAGAATATCGCCTGGTGGACTATGGGTCCCCAGTGACTTCACCTCCTTGTCTGTGGGCCCAGAGGGAACATCCCTGTCATGACACCCCCAAAGGTACCCCAAGAAGACCAACACATCCGTGATCTTCCACGAGCAAACGTCAGACACACCCGGGTGGTGAGTGCCTGTACCCCTAGCCTGGACCCTTCCAGAACGCCAGGGCCAGCAACAAAGCAAAAATCAGCACGTGGGACAACATCAACCGAAAAAGCCTCCACACAGCAAAGGAAACCATCAACAAAATGAAAAGGCAACCTATGGAATGGGAGAAGATCTTTGCAAACCACATATCAGATAAGGGGTTAACATCCAAACTATATAAAGAGCTCACATGACTTAAAAGTAAAAAAACCAAACAACCTGATTAAACAAATGGGCAGATGATCTGAATAGGCATTTTTCTAAAGAAGACACATGGACGGCCAACAAGTGTGTGAAAAGATGCTCAACATCGCTAATCATCAGGAAAACGTAAATCAAAACCAGAGTGAGGTCTCCCCACACACTCTTAGAACGGCTATTATCGAAAAGACAAGAGCTGCAAGTGTTGGCGAGGATGTGGAGAAAAGGGAACCCTTGCGCACTGTTGGCAGGAATGGAAATTGGTGCCGCCACTATAGGAAACAGCATGCAGGTTCCTCAGATAATTAAAACTAGCGCGACCAGGTGATCCAGCTATTCCACTTCTGGGTGTCTGAAGAAAATGAAAGCACTAATTCAAAAAGATATCTGCACTCCCGTGTTCACTGCAGCATTATTCACAATAGCCAAGATACAGAAACAGTCTAAGTGCCCATCCATGGGTGAATGGATAAAGAAATTGTAGTATATATATATATACACACACACACACAATGGGATACTATTCAGCCATAAAAAAGAAGGAAATCCTGCCATTTGTGACAATGTGCATGGACCTTGAGGCCATTTTGCTAAATGAAATAAGCCAGACAGAGAAAGACAAGTACCGTATGATCTCACTTACATGTAGAATCCTAAAGAAACCCCCAAACCCAAAACCTAAACCAAAATAAAAACCGACCTCACGGGTATAGAGAACAGATAAGCGGTTGCCAGAGGGCGGGGGGTGGGTGGGTGAACTGGGTGAAGGGGGTCGAAAGGTACAGACGTCCAGTTACACCATGAATAAGTCGTGTGAGTAAGTGGGGATGTCGTGTCCCGCATGGCGACTACAGTCAGTAACACTGCACTGCGTATTTGAAAGTAGCTGGGAGACTGCATCTTGAAGTTCTCACTGTATGGAAAAAACCTTTGTGGCTGTGTATGGTGATGGCTGCTAACCGGACTCGTGGTGACCATTTTGCACTGTATACAAATACGGAATCATGTTGTACACCTGAAACTAACATAATATGTCAATTACATCTCAATAAAAAATATTCCTAATTCTAAGGCTTTCCATATCTAGAATAAAATTGAGATTTGATTAAAAACAAAGAGCGGGGCTGGCTCCGTGGCTGAGTGGTTAAGTTCTCACGCTCCACTGCGGCGGCCCAGGGTTCAGATCCTGGACGTGGACATGGCACCGCTCGTCAGGCCACGTTGAGGCAGCGTCCCACATCCCACAACTAGAGGGACGTGCAACTAAGATAGACAACTATGTACGGGGGGAGTTTGGGGAGATAAAGCAGGAAAAAAAAAAAAAAAAGATTGGCAACAGTTGTTAGCCCGGGTGCCAATCTTTAAGAAAAAACAAACAAACAAACAAAAAAACAAAAAGAATGCCAGGAACAGCTGAGACAGAGACAGGGCTGGCTTGCTCTAGGTCGGAGGAGGCTGAGGACAGTGACGTCCGGATAAGCCGGCTGTCCTAGACTTGGCTCCCGTCAGACACAGACACTCAGCCAGAGGGCTGGTTGCGGATGCGGGAGCATCTGGACTCCAGGCCTGCCTCGGAGCTACCATCCCGGGAGGAGGACATCTGGAGCCTTAGGAGAGATGTCTGCAACCAGCGAGCAAGTGGATCAGCTGGAATCTCATGAACTGGAGAGACGGAAAGTGCTGTGGGCCGAACCGGGCCCCCTGGTTCACATGTTGAAGTCCTAACCCCTAGAACCTCAGAACGTGACCTTCCTGTTTGTAGCAATAGGGTTGCTGTAGATGGAGTGTGTTAAGAGGGGTGCTGGAGTCGGGGTCCCCAACCCAGCAAGCCTGGTGTCCTTCTAAGGAGGGACATTTGATAGACATGCACAGTGTGTGACGATGGAGCAGAGATGGGGTGATGCGTCTACAGCCACGGATGCCAAGGATGCCGGCACATCACTAGCAGCTGGCAGAGGCCTGGAGCAGTTCTCGCTCACCGGCTCGGAGGAACCAGCCTGGCCGACAGTGCGATCTCCGCTTCCAGCCTCCAGACCGGGAGACACTAACTTTCTGTCGTGTAAGCCGCCTGGCGTGTGGTATCTGTCACAGCAGCTCCAGCAAACTAATGCAGAAGGCAAGAGTGCCAGTGGTATCCATTGGGATTCCGGTGAAGGGAGCTCACTGCTGTGTTTTGGTCACTTTTCTGTATGTTTCAAATATTTCTCAAAATTGTAAGTTAAAAAAAAATGAAACAAATCTGACTTCAAAAAAATGAGTCATGGGCTGGGCCAGACAGTTTTCGTAAATGATCTAATTCTCATGACCCCATCAGGCAGGCATTATTATCCTCAAATTGCAGAACACCATTGCTCAGAGAGGTTAGGCGACTTGCTAAAGATTGCACAGTTCGTCAACAAAGACTTCAATTTGAACTGAAAGCCGTCTCGTTTCAAAGCCTGTGTTCTTATCTACTGTCATTGCTAGGACAGGGGTCGGGGCGCTGTTGGGTTTGAGTTATCTCATAAAATGCAAGAAGAACAGGTATGTAAAGGGGGGATGATTATCCACGGGAAAGAACAAAATAATAAATACAGTGAATACTTTAGGAAGGAAAAAAGATGTGTCATGGAACAAAAGGTCCCCTGCAGCCTGGAGGGCCCAAGGCTGGGTGGAATAGCAGGAGGATGACCCTGGCAAGTGACATTGGTGAGGCAAAGCGCTCTGTGCTGAGGCACCGCTGGTGCCCCGTTACAGATGGGGAAACTGAGGTACCCTGAATTTGAAAATCTCTCTTGAGACACAAGCTAGTGCATCCAAAACTGGAGAGTCTGCTGCAGACCTTATTCTCATCTGTCCCTGGTTTGGAAGGGGCCCTGGTGGGCAGAGGGCCACCTGGGGTGAGTCACGGCCCCCTTCAAGCCTTGGTTTCTCCTCCTGGGATGACAGGCACCCCTCTACCCTGGTGTATGGGCTCCCCTGCAAGGCACCCTGCAGGGCACCTTTGCTAGCAGGCCCTTGGGCCACTGACCCCAGCCCTGTTTCCTCTCTAGGTCCCGAGAACGGCCCGTGGGGCTCCGTGAAGCAAGAGGCCATGCTGAGGAGGGATGCAGGCCCCCGGGTGTCCCCACTGTCACTGAGAAGGCCAGGAGGAGCAGAGATGTCTGAGGGACACCAGGATGGGCAGCCCCAGTGGGGTGTCAGTGTACCCCCACCTCATCTTGGTCCTTCCAGGGACCGTCACACCCCCTGCCGGGAGCCCAGTGAGGTTCAGACAGGACAGGCCCTGGGCCAGGCATGGGGGATCCACCGGCCCTGGCGTTCCCCTCTCTGTGGTGCTGGCCAGATGCAGCGGCCGAGGGTGAGGGCCACCAGCAGGAGGGGCCCCCTCCCTGACCATCAGACGCTGACCATGGGCCTGCCCAATGGACGGCCCATACAGGGGGCTCGGGGCCACGGACCCCCCCCCAGAGCCATGACACTGGGCCATGCCCAGCGCTCTGCAGCTTCAAATCTCATCCCGGGACCCCGGTTAGGAGCGTCCCAGACCCATGAGCGGGTGAGGGGCAGACAGTCTTTCCTGGAACGGCTACACTGTGGATATAACTGGAGAACTGGCTCCAGGCGTCCAGCTTGTGACCTCTCAGAGCTGGTCAGCCCGTGTGGGGCTGGTTCTGAGGGAAAACACAAGTGTGGCAGCTGGGCCGTGGTTTGGGGCTCTGGCCAGCCCAGCCGCGTCATCCCACAGAGAGAGCACTGGCTCACCTGTTCCGCGGGAGTCTGAGGAAGAGCTGGGACAGATCGGAGCACTGCTTGCTTACGACCAAGGATGGGACTCGCCAACAGGTGAGCAGTCAGGCCCCGAGAGGGCATTTCACCTATCCAAAGGCACACAGCGCCCGGGCAGGGGCAGTGCTGGGCCTCGGAGGCCTGGCCCCACCACAGCCCCCTCCACACCAGCCAGGAACTGAGGGCTGGAAGTCTTTCCCAAGCCCTGACCCCATGCCACCCGACCCTGACCCTGTGCCACCCGACCCTGACCCACATACCTAGGAGCCAAGCCGGCAGCCAGCCCAGCTGCAGCAGGACCCAGACGAACGGCCAGGGTGCCCGCAGGGTCCCCATGCCCGAGCGCCAGCCCGCTGGGCCTGCGACCTCCTCCTCCTCCTCTACTGCTCAGGCAGAGGTGACAGAGCGGAAAGGAAACTCTCCCGGGTCAAGTGGCAGGGACACGCCCCGAGCCCCCGCCCCCTCTTCCTCCTCCTCCATGTGGGCGGGGGGGGGGGGGGGGGGGTGGAGAGAGAGGGGGAGAGAGAGGGAGATGGGAGGGAGAGAGAGAGACAGAGAGATAGGGGAGAGATAGGGGGGAGAGAAGGAGATGGGAGGGAGAGAGAGAGATGGGGAGAGGGAAGGAGATGGGGGGAAACGGGGGGAGAGATGGGTGAGAGAGAGGGAGATGGGGCAGGAGAGAGAGACACAGAGAGAGACAGAGACAGAGAGACAGAGGCAGATAGAGGAGGTGTGTGTGGGGGTCTCCATGGGGCAATTCTTGTCTCTTATTCATTGTTGGGGGATGGGAGGGCGGAGGGGTACAGGGCCCTCTCCCCCCTCCCCTCCCCCAGCCATCCTCTGCCCTCAGGAGGTGGGTCGCACTCTCTGGACTCTGGCGGAGCCAGCAAGTGCCTGGCCAGGCCTTGGCTGCCCCCCACCCTCCCTTCTGGCCACTGGGCAGTGGTTAGCACAGACTCACCCTCCCAGGGGCTCACTGCCTGGCCCCTGCCTCCTGGGCTGCAAGGCGGCCTCCCTCTGCCTGAGCCCCAGGCGCACGGGAGACCCTTCCCCTCCCCCGTGGTGGTCTTCCTTTGCCTCTTGCTGGCCTCTTGCTGAAGGATGTCAGGTGCTTCTGGGGCCAGCTTTCAGGGGGTTTCGTGCCGGGCTCGGCACGGCCGGCTTTCCAGATCTTGCCACTGTCAGCAGCCTCCTGACAGCTCCAGTGCTGGGGGCTTAACCTGTGTCCCGCCCCCAGCACACGCCCAGGATGGGGGAGGGTGGTCCTGGGGTCTCCAGGGCCCTGGCCTGGCCGCACAGCCCTGGATGTCTGTGACACGATTCTGTTATGTCATCGCATTTTGCTCTAAGCATCTTATCATAATGAATGGAAAACAGGAAAAATGAAACTGCTGATATTAGTGATGCCCCGCGTGGGGCTCATTGGCTTAAAATAACCAGACAGAAACCGCCTGGCAGCTGGCGCTGCAGCCCCGGCTCGAGACGCTCCGGCTCGGCTGAGAAGGGAACACATTAAAGAATCTGAAACGGTGGAAAAAGAGCATCAAAGCCGCGTTGGCAGGCGAGGCGCGGAGCGGAGGAAGCGCGTTTGCGAACAAAGGGCCACTCCCAGAGCCTCAGCCACTCGAGGCCGTGTGGGTGGCGGGAGCGTGGGAGGGCATCTCGCCGGCCAGGTGGGCTCTGGGGGTGCAGAGAAGGCTGGGTTTGGGGTCCGCGCCCCCTCCCTGCCCCCGGAAGCTGGCCAGCTGGCTAAGGCGGCTGGTCTGGGAGAGAGAATGTGACCAGGGCCCACCCATGTGGACGCCCCACATGGACAGGCACACCCACCCTTGTGGCCTCCCCTTGGAGGACTGGCACTCTGGAGGTGGGTGGGGGGGCTCAGCCTGGGGCTGGGGAGATGGGTCATGTTGGGTGGCGGGACGCCAGGTGTCCAGCAAGGCACAGACCCTGCCAGGAACCGGCCCCGGCGCCCAGCACTTCAGGGCGGCTCTGAACTTGAGGCTGACCCCTGTCCATTGGGCAGCAACTGGACACTCGTGGTGGGACCCTGAGGCTCTGCGCTGGGGAACAGTCTGTCCCCTGAGGACTGGGGCTGGAGGGGACCGTGGGGGCGTGTGGGGGGCTCTGGGATGGGAGAGGCGGTCAGACTCCAGGGGGTCTCCTCACTGCCCTGGCGCCCCCTGCAGCTCTGCCTGCAAGAGCTCGGACACGCATCCACAGAGGGGCCGCAGGAGACAGTCCAGGACGGGTTGTGTGCCTCCCTCCAGCTGGGTGCCCTTGTCCCTCCCTTCTCCTCCGTCCGTCTTGTCCCGCCCCCTTCACAGTCCTCCCTTCCTCCCATCCCCCTTCCAGCTCTCCCCTCCCCCCATCCCCTTCCCCATTATTCCACTGACACCTCTTGGGGCCGGAGCTGGGTGGGCGGCTGAGACTCCCAGGCTGAAAGGGGCGCTTGGGCCCTGGGGGGGTCGGGGCCTGCAGGGGAGTTACCGGTGTAGATGAGGGCGCACAGGGCTGTGGAGGCAGGGAGGAGGGACACAGGACGGGGAGCCTCACACCCCACCCTGGGGGGCAGGACCACAGGCTCAAGGGGCCAGAGCCCAGGGAGAGGTCACCACAGGAGGGGGAGCGGAGGGGTCCCCACCACACACGCTGTCCCCACCACACACACTGTCCCCACACACGCTGTCCCCACCACACACACTGTCCCCACCACACACACTGTCCCCACCACACACACTGTCCCCATCACACACACTGTCCCCACCACACACTGGGGGGAGGGACATAGAGGGTGTCGTATCTTGTCACTGATGTGGGAGCTGTCTCTGCTGTTGTGAGAACTTCCCATGGCACCGTGCACTGTGCCCCGTTGCTCTCAGACAGCGTTCTGCTCAGCTGCCAGGGGACAGGATGCCCACGTGGCTGATGTGGGTGCGACCTGCGGGCCCTGCTCGTTAGTTACTCGTGCATGTGTGTGTGTGTGTTCAGTGCGGCCCCACTTCAGCATGGTGACGGCCCCCGTGTCCCGTGCTGGGTAATGCACGGTGCTCCGTCAGGGTGGCACGCTCTCGCTGCTCCCGTGCTCTGCTGCCTCCACGTGCACATACAGGGCGTGATCCACATGTGGCTGTGGGACGGCCTCCACGCAGCGCGACCCGTGGACACTTGTCGTGTGTGTGTCTCGGGCGGGGTCTGAGTGACGGCACGGTCTGCCTGGCTGCTGTCTGTGGGGGAGCTCAGGTTTTGGCGGGTGTGAGCGAGCTGCGGGGACACTGGCGTGCGGTGCCCGTGTGAACGGCAGCTGCGGGCCCTCCTGGCTGGGGGTTGCTGCTGTGGCATCCGTGTGTCTGTCTTGCGGTGTGCTCTTCTCTGTCTGCTAGGTCTGCCTTCCCATCTGCTTCCTGCTGGACCAACTGAAGAAAGCCCAGAAGGCAGAGGGGCCCCGAAGGTCCTCTGTGAGGCGGCCCCTGACCCTCCCTGGAGGGGGTCTGGTTCTCAGGGGCCTGGAGCAGGTCCCCATGAGCAGGTCCCCACGCGTCCTCCCAGCCTCCTGGTTTGAGAGGAGGAGCTGAGTTTCCCAGGTGCTGCCCGCCTGCCCAAAGGTGACACGCAGGGCGTGGTGGGAGGGCGGGTGCAAAGTGGGGAGGGGGGTCCCCGCGCTCCAGGCACGAGGAGGCACAGGAAGCCCAGAGATCATCCCTGAAACTGCCCCAGGAGGCCGGGAGGGGCGGTCTGACCTCTGACCCAGGGCGCTGCGGCAGGCAGGGAGGCTCCAATTCACAGCCTTTCTGAGGTTGGAACAGGAAATGGTTAATAGTGTTTGCAAATAAAAACTTTCTGTTCTACACTGTTTTTGAAGCATTTCCCAGAAGTTACAAAAGAGCGCCTGATCTGTCTGCCCAGTTAAGAACTAAACTGAAACAATTTGTGGGAAAGATTTCCACCCTGTGTTATCCCGGGGGATGCAGGGAGCCGGGCCGTGTGTGGAGCTGGGGGGGACCCAGGAGGTTTCTTCTCCCTTAGTTTCTAAACTTTCTGGAATGCCGTTGGAGTTTACAGATGAATTGATATTTTAAATTTCCAAATGTGTGTCTGTGTGGATATGTGTGTATGTGTGTTTATGTGTTGTCTTCGGGTGTGTGTGTGTGTAGGTGTGTGCATGTGTGTTCGTGTGCAAGATGTGTGTGCATTTATATGCATGTGTTCATGTGTGTATGTTCATATATACGTGTGTGGTGTGTGTCTATGGGTATGTGTTCACGTGCGTGTATATTTGCATGTATGTGCGTGCTCATGTGTATAGGCATGTGTATGTGTGTGCACGTGTGAGTGTGTATGCATGTATTGTGTGGGCATGCATGTATAGGTATGTGTGTGTATTGTTTGTGTAGGCTTGTGTGTGTAGGTATGTGTATGTGTGTATTGTGTGTGTACGTGTGTGTAGATGTGTGTATGTGTGTATTGGTGTGAGTGTGTATTGTGTGTGTATGGTGTGTGGACGTGTGTGTATGCATGTATTGTGTGGGAATGCATGTATAGGTATGTGTGTGTATTGTTTGTGTAGGCTTGTGTGTGTAGGTATGTGTATGTGTGTATTGTGTGTGTACGTGTGTGTAGATGTGTGTATGTGTGTATTGTGTGTGAGTGTGTGTATGGTGTGTGGACGTGTGTGTATGCATGTATTGTGTGTGCACTTGTGTGTAGGTATGTGTATGTGTGTATTGTGTGTGTGCATGTGTGTGGATGTGTGTGTGTGGGTGTGTACATATGTATTGTGTGTGCACGTGTGTGGCTGTTGTGTGTGTGTGAACACTCCCCTGCCTCTTACAGGGGCATCCTTCGGGCCGCCTGCTGGCCGGGCGGTTGCCTAGGTGGCCAGGTGCAGCCCTACCAGCTCAGGAGCCAGATGGGCCTGGGGTGGACGTGCAGCCGTGCAGGTGTGAGCGCAGGACGGTGCTGCCCTCTGGAGGGCCGAGTCCTCGCTGTGGGTGTGGGCGGGTCGCCTGTGCCCTGGGCGTGCAGCCCGCCCGCTCACTGGGTGAGTGTCCGCCGGCCGCCTGCTGGCTGTGCTTTTATGAGACGGGCCCGCTGGCCCTGCCTCCATGTCCTCCCCTTTGGCCTTGGAGGGCGGTTTCTGGGGGCTCTCGCTGCTCCTTCCAGGGCGACCCCTCCACACCAGGGCTGGGTGGGAGTGACCAGCCCCTCGCCGGGCAGCAGCTGGGCTGGATGCCGGAGTGAGGAACTTCTGGGATGTTGGGAAGGGCCTTCAGGAACAGGACCGGCTGGACAGGGGCCGCCAACTAGATGCTGCTGCGCCAGGGGCCGAACCCAGGACTCCCGCCCGCCTGCTGCCCACCGACACACACCTGGATTGCGTGTTGGGGATGGGCCCACTGGCAGGCTGCAGGGCCCGGGG